AGAGAGAGAGAGAGAGAGAGAGAGAGAGAGAGAGAGAGAAGCAAGACCGCAAAAGTATATTTTACCCCGCTATCGCCGCCGCAAATCCGCAATAGAAACAAGGCGCAAATCGCCAAGAAATCTCCATTCAATGCATGCTGCGTTAGTTGCGCCCAAAGCGGCCAGTTATTGCGAGAGCGAATACGTATGCATGTACAGATGTATGTATATATGTTTGTGTGTAGGGATGCAAATGAGGCGCCATTACGCGATACCGAGAGCAAGGCTGGAAATATCCGTGCTTACGGACCGATAAACTCGTCTGGCGAAATCAATTTGGAAACGCATTTCATCAATTTAGCAGCGGATGCTACCATTCAGACCTCGCAATTGCTCTTTACAAAATTCTTGTGGAGCTCGTGCAACATTCGTCACGTCCGTTATCGTCATCCTCTATCCGAGCGAAATCGTGGAAACCCAAAGAAATCTTAATGCTTTTATAGCTTAATCGATGCAATCTAATTTGGAATTGTGCCTGGCGACGAGCGACTTGGCGTTCATCTCATCGATATACCAATTGCTCTTCTTTCAATGAAAATAATGATTAATTCACATTTACATGACTTACGAGAATCGAATGAAGAATAACAATATTTGACGACAAAATGGGACTATGGAAATGTATTTTCGCGTACGAGTCATAAAAGGTACATTTCAATCAAGGATTTATCTCTCAAATACTTTTGCGAGATATTTGCTGCCAATTTAGTTACTCGAGAATAACGAAGAGAGAGAGAGAGAGAGAGAGAGAGAGAGAGAGAAAGGGTGAAAGGTTTGAAAAGAATATTATTGGCCCTCGAACGTGCCTTACTTGGACGATATACTCGCAACGAGGACTAATAGCGTAAGGTTTTTAAGTACTCCTATAAAGGCATAAAGCACTGTATTTCGACGAATCGTCTCGTATCCAATTGCACCACAGGACGCGCACGCACGCGCACCAGTTGGTGCGGATCCATCTGGGATCGAACGTTAGGCGCAATGATCCGTTTTCCTTTTGCTCTTTGTTTTACGCGCGAGCCGAGGCTCAACGAGATTATGAATTCTTCTTCTTTTTTTTTTCTTTTGATTTGTCGCGCCCACTTTGCGCGGAGCTTTCGCATCGACACATTTGATTGACGCGCCTTTAATTCGCAAAGTAATTGAGTAATTCGCATGGCGTGTAATCGAGGTAATTGAGCGTTACTTATAATTTTATAGAATTTTTCAAAGTTCTTCAATGCAGTAGTACATGTCCGATCGTCGGAGAGTGCAAGGATTTGATTAGTTCGACATGATCGATTGATGATGTCACGGAGGTCGTGTGTTGAGAATTTTTGTAAAATGTGATAATTATGTGTTCCGAGATATATGGGGCTGCATAATTGCGGGACTTTGAGTGTGACTTTTGACTTTTGATAAAAAAACAAAATAAATATCGATACGTTACGTTGCTGTTGAACCCCGTGTTGAAAAGAAAAAGTAAATGTGATTTCGTTCGTGATGCTGTCAATTCGCTTTGAAATGATCACTCCGAGGCCATTAATTCATTCGCTATCTCGAATGCTTAACAAACTCATTGTTTAAAGTCCCATAAGTTTTAGTTAAGATATTTTTATAAATTACATATACTGTGATAATGGTTTATCTTACCAGTTAAGGCTGGGATGCTCTATGTTATCTACATTGTCCATCTTGCGTTATTCGACGTTAATTGTTTAATGAAATAAAAGTGGATAAGACAATACGTTGAAAAAAAAAATCAACAAAACTACAAATATTAAAATATAACATAAAAACCAAACAAAAAACACAGCACAAAACATACAAAACAACAATAAAACATAAATAAAGGCATTTTTATAATTGATAGCAAAAAAAGGACTTTATTCAGTTAGAAAAATACGTTTATTTCAAGAAAACACAAATTGCATATTTGAAATTTATATAATTACAAGATTATTTACTCGCTAATTCACTTAGCTTCTCGAGAACTGTATTTGCTATTCGCAAGACAAGTCGACTGGTTGACGAATATTCCTCATCTATTCAGCCATTCTCAAACTTTTCCACGCCAATTCGTGCAATCCTTCTTTGAATATATCATTATTATGAATCAAAATTAACTTCCTAATAACATTAATGTTTATAATAATAATAATGATAAAAGAAGAAGAACAAAAAAATTGAATAAAAAAAAAAAAAAAAAAAAAATTACAAAGACATTTATTTAAACGTGTACTACTAATAATATTTTTACGTATAATATATCATAGTAGTAAATATATATCACAGGATATCGTTAATCCTCGAGACTCGTGAAGTATCCGTGAAAGGTGAAGAATGACAATTGGGGAGGGGGAAGGGGAGAGGGTAGGGGGTAGGGTGGTAGTGGTCGTGGTGGAAACAGATGCGACATTCAAGAGGAAAATTCTAAGTGAACAATACACTCTCTACGTTTCACGAATTCACGAATCGTTAAAAATAAACGACCTAAAATTATTAACAAAAAAACTTATTGCACTAGTTATGGAGCACACATAGGATGAGAATTAGATGTAACGAATGAAAATTATTATGCGATTTCTTGTTTTTCTTCGTCGTTGGTCGCATAATTAGATAAATTTTCTCCTTATCTCGAAGTATTGTGCGGAAAAAATTTATTTATCGTTCGAAAGGCTCCTCCTCATCGACATTATTCTTATACAACAAAATTTCACCTCGTAAAAAATTAATAAATTTTCGTTATCACATTTACTACTTTACTTTTGTTTAATTATTTATTAATCCTTTTTTTTTTATTTATTTATTTTTTTTATTTCTTAATTTTTATTAGAGACGAACAGAGTTTAATAACAAAGTACAAAAAGAAAAGGAGCATTACACCCATTATTGGGGCAATATTATAAACATACATCAGTTTTTCTTTCTAATTAACTATAATTAACGTATCGTTATTCGCAATTCGACCTGCAAGGTTCATTTTATAAACGTACACCGAGAGAAAAAATCTATTGAAAAACATATAAGTTTTCATCGATGGACTGATAAATGATAATGATAAAAAAAATAAAAATAAAAAAAAAATAAAAATAAAAAAAAAAAAAAATAAAAAAAAAAAATAAATAAAATGGACTATATGCACCATTAATTCAAATTTCTTAAATTGAAATTAAATTTTTGGCGACAAACATATAAGTACCAGCGAGTTTTAACGAAATTACTTCCGACCTTTCGTACACATACGAACACAATTTTCACCAAAAATTCTTCAAATTAACTTTCAATAACACATTGTTAAAAAGTTTCGAAAAATTAAATAATTGTCATAAATAAATGAAAGAATGAAAAAAGCTTCTTGTCAAATTTATGAAAAACACATCTTGTTGTAAGTTTATTACAATACACACTCGCACTACATTTCCAATACATAATTTTCAACATTGCTTCATAACTTTTAATTTTTATCGTAATTTAATAAATTTACTCATTGATATTTTATTATACGTTAAAAATTAAAAAACAATTAAATAATTATTATAAATAAGTGCTTATATATATATATATATATATATTTAATTGAGAAATCGAAATTATACGCTATTAAAAGGAATTGTCTTAAATAATAACATTGTTAAATAAAATTAATTGAATATGCCAATGATATTCAAGAGGAATTCTTACGTCGATAATTAATAAGAAAAAAATTATATCTTATGCACGTTATAGTGGGAAAAGAAAACAGTTTTTTCAAACAATTTAATTGCCATGTTGCCTACAGTACTAAAAAAAAAAAAAAATCTTATCATAGAAATTCTTATTTATTAAAAAAGCAAAATTAATGAAAGTTGTCCTTTCATCGGTTATATCTACTTAATAATTGATTAATATTTCATTAACTTGCGATTTAACAAGCATAAATATGTAAGTAAAGTATTCGATAAATTGATAAATTTGTCCCTATTAAGGACAAGGAAAAAACAATACGATTACTAGACAATTTGATTATTTTATAACCGATGATCTTGAAATGAAAGGGAACAGTATGCAGATAATATTAAGAAAATTAATTTAAACATAACGCGGGATTATTATTTTTATGATTAAACATCATTACGATAGCCATGTCGGTTCAAATAAAAATTATTAATATCTCCTCTGCTTGACATTGTACGACAAAACTTTAGTTAAATGGTTAACCAAAATCTCTTATGCCAAGTCGTCTTACAGTGTGTAACGATGTGTTTGTTTAAGGAGTGACGAAGTGCAATTATGGGTCCACATTTAATAATAACATTTTCTTTACCAGAAAAGAGAGCAATTGGTGCCTTTTACCGCACGATCATTTATTTGCATTTTCTATTTACTATCGATCAGTCCCATGCACAGTGTTTACTGAGTTATTGGCGAGGGAGAGGGAGCGGCCGGCGAACAGAATTTCCGTGCAATATTGCACAGTTCAACTAAATCATCTATTTGGATTAATTAAAATTGCACGATACGCGTCACAAAAATCTCAGACTAATGTATTCGCTTGTACTTTCACACTGTGAAAAAGTCTCGATCGATTCAGCCGATCTGCATGAATTGACTTGGTAGATTTTCACGATCATAGCAGCTTTAAGTGATTCAGAATTTTTTTACTCTACACGCATAAATGTACGATCTAATCAAATATGTGAAGCATAAGTAATTGCCGTCCACGGATAAATAACACATTATCACGTAAGCCAATACTTAATTATTTATTAGCTACAAAATATTGACAATTAATAATTAAATGTATGAAAACGGCATTTATAAGGCGCCACAAATATTCGAGAAAATATAGAAATATCAATAATATATTGTAACGCATACATATAAGAATGTTATTTTTTATTTATATACAGGCTTTTTTTTTTTTTTTTTTTTTTTTTTTTACAATTACTAATACAAAGCGATTGCAATTTCAGTCTCATTATATAGAAAAGGAGCCAAAAAGAAGTTTGATAAAGAAGCGAATGATTTATGTACTCTACTGACTGAGTTACAACTCAAAAAGAAATTCCATTAACGTAATTAACATAGATTTGAATAAAATTTCAGACAGCTAACGAATACGTTGACGGATACGTTACTTTCTATTCTGCTCTTGATATTATCGCCTAAAAAGTGCACGGTTCGTAAAATATTGAAATGACGATTGAAAACAATTTCATAATAATAAAAATGAAAGTAAAAAAAAAAAAAATTTTTTTTTTGTCTTTGTTATTCAATATAATTAATTATATTACAAAAGGTTTTCCATTTCTTTGTCATAGAGAAATTTATGCATTAACAAGCATGAAGAAACACATGCGCAAACACGAATTTCTTCGGCGAATTAAAAGGCAAAAAAATGCACGAGCAAAGAGTATTATTTATAAGGAGTCGAAGGCGTTGCAGGAATGATTAACTTCACATCAAACAATTGTTTGGCGTGAAATATTAAGGCCACGTGGTGCGGTGTGTAATATAATCTGGGGTGAATTTATTTCTCTTATCATTCCACAGAGTTGGCTAGTAAATTAGTATCTTGACACAAGAGGAGCTCGATTAAGTATATTTATCAATCTAAAATTTTCAAGCATAAATTTACATGTAAATTCATAATCCCATTGTTTAGTATTGTATCGCATTATAATTCGTAATGTTGGAAATTAATTAATTATAATGGAGAAACTCAGGCTTCCATTACACTCAAATATTGTAAAAAATTAAGCTTTTTATGCTTGTTGATATGGTCGTACTTACTTTATTTTATAATTAAATATCTCGTGCGTTAAAGCAAGAATATTGCAATTGTAAATGTCAGCGCTCGATTTTACCGAAATTTTCATTAGCAGGTTATCACTTAAAAAATACTTAAACTCTTAGAGAATGTGCATTGAGTCAATAAGTAAGTTTATTCATTAGCTCTAATCGTATTTAAAATATAAATCTTATCGGCTAACAATGTAACATATAATTAAAGACTATTATACTTTATAGTTTTGTCCGTAGTAGTACAGTGCTTATGGCATACAAATTTTAGAGCCAAATTTGGCACCAAGAGCGACTCGTATTAATTTCTAATGTCAAAAGTCTAATATCGCGACTAAATATTTTTTTGTCTTTGGTGTGGCACCGTGGATAGTCCATAAACATGAAATGCTACACCATGGCTTTACAACTCCAAATTCAATTTGGCTCCGAAATTGTTTACTCTGTGTACATTACAGTATTATAAGCCAATACTACGGTGCGTTGGCTTGCGTGAAATCTTTCACTCGCGGACTTTCACTTTCGCACTCTTCACCCGCCATTTTTCGTAAATTCGTCCCGTTCCAACGTACCACCACAACAACTCGCGGCGCATCTCGCGAGTCAATGCTCGCAAAACTCGAATGGTCTCGCTAGCAATGATAAGGAGGTGCTCGAAAGGAGGAAGGAACGCGTACGATTTTTTCTGTCGATGTACATAATTACGCAGCTACGTAGTAGACAGTAAATAATTATTTATAACGAGGAAAGCAGGTGCGAGTTTCGTGTGAGTATGGCTGTTACATATAAAGAGACGTAAACATACGTACGCGAATATATATATATATATATATATATATATATATATATAAACACATAGTTACATACATACATACATACATACATACATGCATGCATATACATACATATGTATACATACATACATACATACATACATACATACACATATGTATACATATGTATACATACATACATACATACACACATATATATACATACATATATACATACATACATACATGCATACACGCACGCACACACACACACACACACACACACAGACACGCACACATATGTATATACGCACGCACACACACACACACACACACAGACACGCACACATATGTATATATATATATATATATATATATACACACGCAGACATACATATACGCTGAGACGCGCATGTGAATGTATGTGTAAAAGAGAAAAAAAAAAATACAAGAAGATAAGGTAAATTGGAGACAGTATAAGTAAAACAATTTGGCGGATGGCTAAATAGAGAGGTTGGCTGGTGGATTAGTTGCACTGAATGGGCCTGAACTTACCCAGATTCGCGTATATCGAATCGGAGGCCGAGGAGCCGCCGCTCGGCTGCCAGGCCTTGGCCCCGGCCCCCGAGGGCTTACCGCTGGCTCCGGGCCCCGACGGCTGCTGCGGGCCCCGCGAGCTGCTTCCAGCCCGCGACGACTCGTCCAGGGATTGGGCGCGAGGAGGCGGCGGCGGCTTGCTCGGACGTGCTGCTGCATTGCAAAACGGTCGCGCTTACTCTCACTATCCTCGGCTCTCGTTATCTCGGGCACAGTCGGCGTCTCTGACCGTGTCAATGGAAAGGGATGAGGGGGAATGAGGAGAGACGAGGAGGGATGGGGTGGAGATGATGGTGGAGAGAACAGATCGAGGCTTTTTCACTATCGCTCGCGCAAGCTTCCGTCTTACGGATTCGCGAGTTATCGGCAATTGGTAACGTTCTTATCGACTCGAGATTTTTAATTTCGAAGTAGATTTTTATGGACTGCGAGGGGATAGAGGATCGTGACGTTATTCCCATGATTCTTCGTGCACTGTTGGCTGACTGGCATACGCTCGTTGCCAAAGATTCGAAATTATTCACATGTTATAATATTAGTTAATAATGGCACTCGAGCTCTTACGCACAGAGTAATTGCAAACTATTAAAGAGTTTACCGTTCTCCTGTGAGCTTTGTTATTTGTTTTGTTACTTGGGATTTCGCGCGTACCTGTGCCGCTGACAAAAATCATTACGATTACATTATAATTCTATCCTCATAAATTTCTTCTTTTTCTTTTACATTTTCTTCTATTAATCGAGCATCATAATAAAGACGCGTAAGCTTTATGCTCGAGCTTCTCGTACACGCGTGAATGTAGTTTTAATCGAATGATCAAACGGTTTATCTGTCATTAATTTTTTTTATCAGTGTCCTAATGTACGTTGAATAGAGCAATTTGATGAAGTGGGTCAATGACAGGTAAAGTTGTATGAAAATGTAATGCAGCTCGATAAGTTTCTCACTGTCCAAAATTCATGCGAATCCCTTCCCCATTATATCGCGAACAAGTAATTCAACTATTCTTTAGTCCTAGGGTAACGCGAAAAATGTAAAATCCCGTTTAATCGGCCCGTGTCTCCTCCCCTCCTCCTATATCACAATGTCGAGTATCGGCCTTTAATTAAAGAAACACGCCGTCCCGCGGTTAACCGTCTTAAAGCGCGACGGGCCGACCGGATTGAGCTTGCACGCGTCGCACGGGATGGTAAAAACGGCACATCGTCAGCACATCTTTAATAATCGTTGCCTCGCCGTAACGACAGAGCGTTAACTCACTTGTGAGATGCTGAGCGGCGTGCGATCCCTGCCAACCGTTGCTCTGGCTTTCGCTCTTGGTCGAGTCCGTCGAGTCTTCGCCGCAGCTCTTCTCGTTTCGCAGAACCTGGACAGCGGCTCCGTCCAGTTCCAGGGGGTGAATGATTTCCAGCCTCGGCTTGGGCTGGGGCGTCGAGGGGATCTCGACGTTCCTCGAGCCGCTTGAGCTGCCCGTCATGTCCACGTCCTTTCGGAGTTCGAAAAATAATTGCGGCAAATTATAACGACCGAGCTATGAAAAATGAGGCTCTTAAAAATTAGACGCTCTTTAAGCTCAATTATGACGCTCTATAGGGGCGACCGAGCGTTTACTGAGATTTCCGACGGGAAAATGTCGTATTGGCTAGCGGCCGACTGTCAAAGAAAAATCGGATGTTCAACGATAGTTTCGGGGCTTCCGGTGCCGAAGCTTTTAGCCTAAATTTGCGCATTTCGTGTCTTAATAACGTTTACCGTCGTTCATCAATAAGTCAATAAGTCGCGAGAAATTGCTTAAAGCGCGCATGCAAGTACGCCGGTGGTCTTAAGCGCTGCACCACAATGTCCTTTTACGCGTATCCCCGTATTTCTACAAAATTGGCTTTGATATATTTACGTTTCAGCCTACACATTGGCTAATTATCATAATATGTTTATCGTTAAGGTATTTATAATCACTGACGCGTCTCAAAATCATCATCTATCATGATGGATACTCGATGGAATGGAATGGAACTCGCGAAATGTTTTACTTGATTATACTGGGTGAAACGAATGAACGAATGACAAAAGTGTAGGGAGTCATGTCGGTATCGTAATATTTTTCCATATTTTTCCACGTGTATTTTACAAGCGAACGCTTCGTTTCTGAGGAAATTTTGTTTTAAAAATTACAATCCAATTAAAACGGTAATACATCAAACGAGCACGAATTCCATGCACATAATCGCCACTCGTAGAGTCTCCAGCGAAACGAAAGCTTCTACATACAAGAGAGTAAAGGCTAAAAAGGACCTTCTCCACCTCCACCTCCGCCTCCACCTCTACCACCACCTCTACCTCCGCCTCCACCTCCGCCTCCACCTCCACCTCCACCTCCACCTCCGCCTCCACCTCCGCCTCCACCTCCACCTCCACCTCCACCACCTTCACCACCTCCATCCTCATCTCCTCCTTCTCCTCTTCCATCACCATGGTTCGTGTATCATTGATATCCGGCGCAACCAATCTTCAAAATCACAGGAAATCGAGAGCGTAGCCCCGACCTACCTTCCTCGATCCCATCCTTAGGAACTTCTTGAGCGAGAACTTGGACCGGCCCTTCTTTTTTTCCTCGACGAGTCGATCGCCAGCGGCGAGACTGTCCTGCGACAGAGACATGTTCCTCCTGGGTGCGGGTTCTGGTGGCCTCGCGGGCGCGCACGGGTTCGGAGCCTCGCAAATGGTCTTTCGGAATTTGGGACTGCAGCTGGAGGCGCGCTCGCGCTTATCCTTCTCGCGGGTTTTCGGGCACTCGAGCTTACCCGCGGTCGAGCTTAACCGCGAGAACAGCCCGGAGTCTTCGTGGCCACTCGGTGGCTGAGGAGCCATACGCCGCTTCGACGACGAGCGTCGCTCCTCCTCGTCCTCTTCTTCCCCATCCAGTTCCTCCTCCGTCTGCACATGGTTCATCAACATAGATTATCACGATCTAGATGCACCGCTACTACTACTTATCGTCTATGGTTTTAATTACAGCTCGACGCACAAACACACGCGCAAACACACACACACACACACACACTCTCTCTCTCTCTCTCTCTCTCTCTATATATATATATATATATATATATATATATCTCGCTATACGAGTACGGCTGTTAAATGTGAAATTTGAAATGGAGATTAATTGCGAGGGTAGGTATGCCCGAGGAAAATCATCCTACAACTATTGGCTTTGAACGTCTCTTAGCTTAAGCTTATCGGATACGATGAGCTTATTTGCCTATTACATATCGATTATCCTGGGAAAGTAAACTGTTGACATCGTACGTAGTTTGTAAAGATAGCGCGAGACGAGGCGATGTAGATGCCAGCGACTGTGTAAATAAGCCAAGAGTTCATCTGCAAAAAGCCCGAAATAAAAATTGCATCGAACGAACGTTATCATTGATGATACATGATTTGCGTGAAATCTTCCACTTTCGCACCCTTCACCCACAATCTCGTAAACTCGTCCCGTTCCACAATGTACCACAACAACTCGCGGCGCATCCAAATACAATCGTCGAGCCTTCGATTAGCTTAGCGGTACTAACCTGCTCGTCCCTCTCGGTGCTGCTCCTGGGGCAGCTCGACTTGGGGGTGGCGTCCGAGTCGTTGAGCTGGCCGCTGGACTCCACGGCGGCGGCTCTCTCGACCTGCCTGCCGGCTAGTTGTAGTTGTCCAGGCTTAGCGTTCGCGAGCCTCTCCGAGTCGCAGAGGTGGCTGTCGCTGCGCGCATGCGCGAGACCGCCGTTAGTCTTCTGGCCCACCCGGAACTCGTAGGCCCGGCTCTCGCTGAGGATCGAGGCGAGGCTCGAGCCTATCGGCTTCAGCGGCACCGACGGCTTCGGCCTCGGCTCCGAGCTCGTGCCGTGGAGGAACGAGGCGCGGGGCTCGGCCAGCCTCTGCCGCTCCTTCGACGGCTCGGCCACGAGCTCCTCGTCCGCCTTCCCGTCTGGCTCGCCCGCGGACTCGCGGCTCACCTCGAACGTGTACTTCTCGTGCGCAGCCTCGCCCTCGACCCTGCGCTCCATCAAGTCGCTCATCCTCGAGGTGCTTTTGTAGCTCGGGATCTCCTGGGGTAGCTGGGGGAGAGGCCGGGATATGAGTGATGCAATGGTCGATCGGGTCGATCGCGCGTCAATTCCTTCTGTAGTCGTGGCTTCGAGAATTTTAGCGTCGACTGGATTCAAGTTGAGGGAGCAAGTCCGACTTGCTCCAACTAAACTAATGGCAACTGAACGATTGCGGGATCAAGATTTTTCGCAGTGCCTTATCTCTGATATTTATTATTTATTAAATTTCCGATTGATTGCGTGGCTCGAGTGTGAAAATTGAAGTTGAAGACGCTTTAAAGATTGTTTTTCCACACTATTCGACCTCCCCCCCCCCCCCCTCCCCCCGCTCATTCTTCAAAATCAGAGCATTAAAAACTCGCGCAATGCCGTAAAGCTTGAAATTCACGGACGATACTTATTACCTCTCGTCTATTATACTATTATTATCATTATTATTATTATTATTATTATTATGGTTGTTGTTGTCGTTGTCGTCGTCGCAATGCTTGGGGATTATTAATTATGGGGTGTTGAGTCGCGGAAAATCAAGGGGGATAAACGATGACAGACCGGGCATTTGTAACTAAGCCATTTGCAGAATTGGTTAGCAAGGCCATGGCTGAGGGGAAAATGAATGACGTTGGTGTTGATCCACGTACCTTGGCGAAGTTGGTGGAGGAACCGTCGCTTCGATCTCCGGTAACAACGATGGGACTCAAGCTCAGCTCCACGCCATTTGACATCTCCAGGTTCTTGTGATTGCGCGCTGCATTATGATCGGCGCTCGGCTGAGCCATGATTCTTGGCTTCTCGTTCTCCGACTTCTTGATCGCCGGAGTCCTGGCGATACTCGTCACGCGCCTCTGCTCCGTTATTCCCGTCGCCGTTATCATAGTCGCTGCACTCGGCGTCTTTTTCGGGCTCTCGAGGGCCTTGTGTGCGCTCTCGTCGCGCATCACCGTGATTAAATTCGTCGACGTGATAAGGGGCATATCGACGATTTTGCCGAGACTCGCTGTTGTCGTGCTGGTTAACGACTTGTTCGTGACATGGAGGGGCTTCTCATTGATGGGCTTCTTCATCGGCTTGATAATCGACAATTCGACTTTCACGTCCAAAGTCTCGCTGCTTACTTTCGGCTTCGTGATATCCAAGGACTTTTTGTCGCTTGGCCTCCTGTTTGAGAAAGTCCGTTTGTTTAACTCATCCCTTTTTGCGTGCCACTGTCATTTACGATGCCGCGAGTAAGCGACGGGTTCATTTCTTCGTCAAAGCCCGAACTTTTTCCTTCTCGTCTCGACATTTTTAAGCGAAAATGTATAGCTTACGTCTAATTATTAATTATTACCTTTAATTTTCGCGTTAAAACAAAACAATGAAATAAAGTTGAAATATTTCTTACGATAATTATTATATATTGTTGATTTTATAATCATGATATTATGGACCGATTGAATAAAGTATCTCTATATAATTATGACAAACTTTACCTATTTTAATCACGCTTCAATAATATTTCAATGCACCGGATATTATTACTAATGGACTAAAAAAATTGCCCAAACTTCATAATCAAAGTCAAACGAGTTGAAAGACATATATAATTATACAATGTTAACGTATGATAAAAAATGGTGGATCCGATGATTAATTTCAAATTGTCATTCATCTCTTCCTCCCTCTTCCTCCACATGCCCCCTCCCCTCCCCTCACCACCCCCCTACCGTCGTAAAAACTTTTTGCATTTCATTAGCCTACTCGTGTTTCAATTATATAGGTTATTGCGGATAGCAGTGGTAAACACTAAGAAGGAAATTGTACTTTTATGGTATTTCGATGTCAAGTTGTCAAAAAGATCGATCGTACGAAGAGCGCATCGTTCCTCCAATAAATAAAGAGAGAAATGAAAAGATGTCGTTTAAGATTGCTTTTTGTGTCAGTGAAATTGGCCGCGATACATCAAAAATACCTTGGCAGTTAAGGAGCGAGGACAACATGATGTAATGAACAAAGGGGAGGCTTTAATTCAATTAGCAATAACTAATGCTCCCAGAGGCTGACTAACTAACTAATTATTCGTCGATGGAGGGGCTAAGTCGATAGTTAGCTATTCGCGAATCTGAGATCCCGAGGTAAGATTAGGAAAGTGAGTAAGCGAAGGAGTGATCACCTCGCAGTGGGCAAGCTGTCGTCACCGCCGAATGGCTTAACCGACACGAGGAGCGTCGTCTTTCTGCCATCGCCGTCCTTCTGCGCCCTGCCGAGCATAAGGGAACTGAAGCTCTTCGCCGGCGTCTTGGGCTCCTCGGGTGGGCTGCTCAAGTTGGCCGTGACGGTATTAAAATTGGTGTTGGCGCGCGTAAGGTTGCCAAGGGCGCGCTCCTCCTCGCTGTCGGGCAATTCATCGACCTCGAGACTCGTGTCCCCGTTAAGGCTGTCCGGGTCGTCGACCGTATAGCCGCTCTCCTCGTCCGAGGCGAAGTCGTCGCCGCCATCGTAGCCGATTATCTCGGCGAGCGAGTCCGGAAAGGCGACGTTCTTCCGCTTCGAGCGCACCTGCTGCTGGACGTTGCACAGGCTGTTGCTCTCCTTCGGGCGCAGGATTCCCTGATAAAACGATAGATTATTCGTTTATTGATGGGAGTTTATGAGGGTAGGAGATGCTTGGTGGTGGCGGTGGGGGGTGAGGGGGGTGCTGTTGCCGTGATCAGTGAGATAGGATTTCACGTTACGAGCATGTTATTATTTATTACATACACTGACATTCGATATGATTTTTTTGTCCAAGTAGCGATTGTTAAAATATGCGTAGCGAGGAAATAGTTAACAGTTGTATGGGTGAATAACAAATTCGTGAATTTATACGAAGCGCGTATGGAAGGATAATAATATCTTTTCTGTTACATTGACGACACAACTTAGATAATTAATAATTCCGAAGGATATTTATTGAGAAAATTGTAATTGCAAAATTTAGTTTTTTTATTCCATTCCTGCCCCTCAAATAGTTAAATATATATATATATATATATATATATATATATGAATAAATATGAAATACTTTATCGTCATGGCTTTCTTTGAAAAATCTGTCTTATAAATTTTGATATTGCGTGCTAGCGCACGAGAATTTAAACTCTAATGCACGTACAAATATGTCAAAAATCTTATACAACGAAAAGATTTAGAAAAATAAAAATTACCACAATAATGGTCAATTTTCGTGCAAAACTGTACTTTGAAGATAAAAAGTGAAAAGAAGAGCGTTCGCATGACTCATCGATTCCTATGACTTTCGTTGAGCTTATTAATTAGCACAATTTGCGAGCATTGATTGTGCGACGTGGGAGAAGCGCCATGCTTCGTTAGCTACCGAAATTCCAATCCCAAGTGCTAACTATATATATATATATATATATATATATATATATATATATATGTATATATAAATTTGTCGTGGAAAATTCGAGGAGGGAAAAAGTTGTCGTAGGAAATTCCAGTAGGGTAAAATGCTCGTTATGCGAGAAAGTTACGTCGATTCTCGATAAAGCGACAGCTAATCACCCGTCATATTCCTGAAAATTATATCTCTCCTACTATCGCATAATTTCCGGCGCTCCAAGGACTGATAATGCGATGCAATTGCTTTTAAAAATTAAGCGACACTCTTTTATAGACCCTTTGTCTTGGCAACGAGATAACGCTTAAGTTTTCGCTTTAATGCTATTTTTTTTTTTTTTTTTTTTTTTTTTTTTTTTTTTTTTTTTATAAAGAAACAGAAACAACGACGCACTGTTGGTGTATTTTAATATACGAAAGTGAGGAATAATTACAAGTTGGCAATCGATTGCTTTATCTATCGAATGGTTGCAATGGCTTTGTCGCAGCGATCGATGAATTTCCACATAAATCTTATCATACCGATAACGCAAACTTTCGTTTGTTGGTATTGTGCTATTTCTAAATCGAGCATTATTTCAAACTTAATAATAAATAGTGCAAAAATCAAAAATAATTTTCATTTTTAAATATCTATTCAACTGTGCATTGGTAAGGTTTATTAGAACGACGATTGGGCATAAGGTTAAAAGAATGAAAGAAAAAGAAAAAAGAAAACTGTTTCCTATTATTATGTTTGAATAAAATATCGTAAAGCCAATAATAAATAACTTCGATATAATGGATTTGAATATCGAGTAAGCGGACAAAATGACCGATAGCAGTCCAAAGTCACGCAACGTTATACTAAAAACTAAAAATGCACTCCTTCAGCGGCGAATTCGACAAGATTCTCAGCGAATTTTTCAAAGACGTCGAAAGTAATTCAAAGCTAACATTTGCTTCAAATGCAGTTTCACCTAATTATGCCGTTACTTCGAATTTATTAGCCGCGAAGAGCAGTGTAGGTCATGGTAAAAGCAAACCTTGCGCAAATTTAGACAATAAACGAAAGCGAAGCGCGATGCGTGTAGCGCAATTCGTACTGCACGCGAGATAAGAATCGTCAAAATAATCGCCTGGCGGCTTAATTAACGGGAGGCAATTAAATGGGGGTCTGGGTCCGGTTTAACGGAGATAGTATTGATAATCGGTAGTTAGAGAGTTGCGATATTCGTTGTATCCTCGTATGATAGAATTATCCTTGCCAGCGGTTGGTTAGTTGCACGAGTGATAACGCGCGCTGTTTCATAATTGGCCGATTCCGACGGATAGGCAGGCGGCAGGCACTTTCGAAAGAACTTTTAGGCTCAACGACGACTTGGCTTCGGGTCATCGGGAGTCGCGTTTCGCAAGTCCGCCATTACGTTGGGCTCCCATTGGGCTTGGATAATCTCGCCCCTATAGCAGATGAAATCCGTAAGAGGCCGAATAATTAAGACAGTTTTGGTTTGGTCGTTGGATTCTTTTTTCGATCGACGAGAGAGAGAGAGAGAGAGAGAGAGAGAGAGAGAGAGTGTCTCGAGGCGATGCTTCTCTAGGATCTTCGTTAATATCGTTCATCCGAAATTCATGTGAAATTAAAAATGATTTTAATCCGCTTTCGCGAAACGTTTCCTGGGTGTGCGAATTCGCGCATAGACGATCGAATAAACCCTAAAGAAATGTTACCGTCGATTTCTCTCGTTTCCTGGACCTCAAACATTAAGAAAATTCGAAGAAAATATTTCTCTCTATATTGGGAGCGCGGCCGTAACTTTACTTAAATCAACAACTTTCACCGTGATAAATGTACAGATGAGCTCGACTCGTCTCGCTACTTTATTCAAAGTTTTAATTATTTTCAAGATCCGATAAGGAACGTTTACAAAAGTCAATAAAATGAGTCACAGTTGAAAAATATTCCTTCGAATAATTAATGCGCACGCACACACGCTTAAACGCTCGACGAAAAACACATATATATGTATAGATCGATTATCGAGTGTTTCGTCAAATTTTACTAGCGAGGAGCGATCGGACAATGGCTAAAGAGAAGAGTCCGAATATATCGTTGAGAAAGATAGCGAAGATTATTTGCGTGTCTGTGCGTTTGATAGGTTATTTGCATAATTACATCAGCGATAACATGTTGGTTACTAGCCGCGAGGATGTTTTTATTAACATGTTGAACTTGATAGGAATGATTGCTTTCGGAAAAGTGGCGGGAGTTGCAGTCGCCCCTCCCTTCCTAATTATTATGATCTACTACAAGGAAATTCTAAAATTTATTCGATATAATATTCATAAATGTGGTTATTGCTTATAAACTTGGCTTAATTAATCGAATTTGAAATTAAGTATCTTAATTGGTTTCGATCGAATGTCGATCATTGCAGTCGAGAGAAAAGTCGTAAAAACAATCGTGTACGTGGTTATTTGAAATTAAAATATTAATTAACATCGGTCGCATAATCTATATATATAAAAATTGATAATATTTTTGTCTGTAAATCTGCTCTATAGTTGTTTTAACTGGAAAAGGATTTTTTTCTTCTTCTTTTTTTTTTTCTTTTTAAATGATTAATTCAAGAGATATCTACACTTTCAAGTAAATTGCAGCAATTTTTTGGTATTTTCCAATATAGAATAAATAGTGTTTTATCATATGATTAGTTAAGCCACGATTAGAGTATGTTATTACAAGTAATTATTGTCGAAATTTAGTTCATCCAATATTTTGACCTTCAATGCGACAATATAAATAAATCGTTTATATTACATTCATCTGACACATTTGAATGTTCAACGTCTGTGACGAGATTTTACAAGATAATTGCAATGCAATAATATTTACAATGCACGATTTTTATCCCAATTATCTTCCTTTTCTCATTCAAGTGTAACAAATTGTTCTGGTTAGCTAATTAAAATTAGTAAAAATTGATAAAAATATAAATACTAAATATTGTGGTAATTAAATTTTAATTACCAAATAAGACATAATGTATATTTTTATATTTAGAATATTTTGCAAGAGCATTGTTGAAACGACATGACCAAGCGTATTCAATCAATAATAAAATAATAATAGTATAAAATAATAATAATAATAATAATAAATTAATCTCTTAGCTATCTATCAAGATAGAATGCAATTAATGACTCCGAGTGAAATTCCGTATAATCAACAACTATAAAATTCTTCAATTACAATTGATGAAATGATAATGCTTGTAATTATAAATTTATATTATTCTTCAAGTGTATGCTGTGAAAAAGTTGTTTCACTCAATTACCATATAAATAAAGTCAATTATAAAAATTTCTAAATTCTTATTATTATTTAAGTGTAAAATCTCGCCGAAACGAGCCTCGGCCGATTATAGCGCAAGCAATCGTGATCCCATAACATCCACTTCGGCCTTCAGCAACAATTCCACATTCAATAAACAGCGAGAAACATTGTCTGCGCGTATTTATTGTTCAATTAAAACTAGCTGTAACATCAAAGCAAATTGCCTTGGTGTAGCGACAAGCGGGGCAACGAGTATCAACGCGTCCTCTTGCATTATCACAACGACAACCTTCGCTAGCCTTGATATATTTTTTTCCTCCGTTCAGCCGGGCCAGACCGCAGAAATCCAGATCACGTTGCCGTGTAGCCAAGCCAAGTGCCACTTTCTCGGTGTCGCTGCTCCCAGGGACGCGCTGGTTCCTCTGCCCCCCCCCCTCCCCCTCCACAATCCCCATCTCCCTTCGTTCAACCGCCCGTCTCGCGTTCTCGGTGCTTGATTTTCCGACCGACCTCGTTTTATATTTGGCCGCAGACGGAAGCGTCGAGGCTCGAGGCTCGAGGCTAACCCAGTTTCCCGGGCGTCCTGCCTTCTTCGGGCTGGACGGATCCCCGCCAAGGTCGACAACCTCGCCTTCACGGTCAAGCTTTTAGGGGACGATCCCGTCAGCGGTGCGACAGTTCCATCGTCCTACTCTCTCCTCAGTCGAGGACTCAACAAATTGCTCCCATCCACGCCTCCCCCGCCACTCGCCCGTGATAATCGGGCGAGTTTTCCCTCTTTGGTAGGCGGTTGTGCCACGGCCTTATTGCCACTCGTTAAGGGGCTTCGCGCAACTTATTCCGATGAATGGAAAATAAGAATGGCAGCGCTCGGAATTGCTCTTGGATCATTAGCCATCGCCTGTATTAGTTTTAACGACATTGGATAACTTTGTGCACGTTTAAGCTATTTTAGCCGAACGCTGTTAATTATTATTTTTAACTTTTATTCACTTTAAATCGTTTGAGAGTAACGACTTTTTTTTTTTTTTTTTTTTTTTTTTTTTTTTTTGCCACATACGAATGCGGAACAAAATTCTTATGCGCTCTTAATTGCGACCTATGTTGTTGTTGTTGTTGTTGTTGTTGTTGTTGTTGTTGTTGTTGTTGTTGTTGTTGTTGTTGTTGTTGTTGTTGTTGTTGTTGTTGTTGTTGTTGTTGTTGTTGTTGTTGTTGTTGTTGTTGTTGTTGTTGTTGTTGTTGTTGTTGTTGTTGTTGTTGTTGTTGTTGTTGTTGTTGTTGTTGTTGTTGTTGTTGTTGTTGTTGTTGTTGTTGTTGTTGTTGTTGTTGTTGTTGTTGTTGTTGTTGTTGTTGTTGTTGTTGTTGTTGTTGTTGTTGTTGTTGTTGTTGTTGTTGTTGTTGTTGTTGTTGTTGTTGTTGTTGTTGTTGTTGTTGTTGTTGTTGTTGTTGTTGTTGTTGTTGTTGTTGTTGTTGTTGTTGTTGTTGTTGTTGTTGTTGTTGTTGTTGTTGTTGTTGTTGTTGTTGTTGTTGTTGTTGTTGTTGTTGTTGTTGTTGTTGTTGTTGTTGTTGTTGTTGTTGTTGTTGTTGTTGTTGTTGTTGTTGTTGTTGTTGTTGTTGTTGTTGTTGTTGTTGTTGTTGTTGTTGTTTTTGTACATTGCGCGAAACAATTTATTTGATTCTTCGGGCAATTAGCACTCGCTACTTAATAATGAAGGCAATAATTGTAAATGCGACGTAAAGGTTGTTTGTAAGTCGCAAAGTACGTCAACGCGGTAAGTCATTGTTGATCGGACGATTTTCTACAAACGATGAGGCGCCTATGGGGATACTAGCCGATGCAACTTCACTCCCAAACAATAATCAATACTACCAACGAGACAACGCTAATCACGCAATGAAATTCATTCGTAACCGAGGACATTCATCGGCGCGACTCATAGTTATCGCATTCGCTGCAAGTACCGACAGACCGACGGACGACAAGTGTCCGTAGAAACACGTTTCCGTATCCACGGAACGACCGCACACATCCATTTCCATAAACAATCTTCGCGGTCGGTTCCCGGACGATTCAGTCGTTCGCGATGCCATTATGCACCGGCTGCGATGGAGGCCAAATTAAGCTGAATAATCGCATCGATGACTCGGATGGATTTATCCTCATTATAGCTGCAGAAGTGCATAAGAGGATCCACGAGTAACAAGACAATTAGGCGCTTGAGAATTGTCGGGGGATAAATCTGCGAACGGAGCTTGGCTTCGTAATACGGCGCGTAAGCTTCGCCGGGACGGTGATGGGGACGGTGACGGGGATGGAGGGGGGTGGAGTGTAGTGGAGTATAGGGGATGAGGATATTATCTGTAATTTGTTGAGACATAATTCTCTCATGATTCCTCATGGCTTTACGATGAAAGCTTACGGATAACGCGATGACGAGAACGGCGTGACCATACAAACAACGCGATTGACGCTTAGATTTTTGCAAATATTCCGAGATTCGTACATTGGTTGTAATTATTTTACCGTTCATTACGGGCTGTTGTCGCTCGGTTGAATTGCGAATCATCAACATGGCCATAAATGTTTTGCCAATAATTATCTCGTGGTGTTTAAATTAAGCGGTAAAATTTTCTTGCGCAAGATGAATTATTGTTAATGTTTTTGTCGGCATTGGCCAAGGCACGTAATCATAAAGTGGGAGGATTTATCAACAGTCGGCTATAGGCTCGGAATTTATCATTACACTATACATTAATACATATGGTCGCATGTGTACGTACCCACCGTATAATATTCGTATTAGTATTTATGTGTAATGGTACCCGGAAGCAAAGTGTAATGAGCAGATGTGATAGATCGAGTTTTAGAGTGGAAAAGAAAAACCATTTTTCAAACGTAATCTAATGTTTACAGTTCAGCTTTGTAAAATTATAATGTCGAGAGCGTACTGAACAATTATTGATATTTTTCCACGGGACAAGATTTATCGTGTAATATTACGCGTAGATAAATATTACGTTATTATGCACACTGTTATCTAATCGAAATAACAGTGAAGAATTCGTCGGTGGAATCAAGAAAATTGATGCCACTACAGAGCAAGAAATTTCACAATCGTAAGACAAACAAAACATCCTTTGGTGAGCTTTCGATACGACAGGCCCCAAGTTAATCATCGATTAGCTTACTTACATATTCGCAGTCTCACAGCAATTATTATGATTATTAATTTTGATGATTTTTGCGATTGCCATGTAAATCAAATTCTACGGACGTACGAGCAAACGATACGCCAAACATTTCCGTAATGATTAATGTTCTGTTTACAGGAAAATACACGGCACAGCAATTATTTTTACGAAAATCTTTATGGATTATTCATGATCGAGAATTATCCGAGTATTAGCAGCTCGCCGACGGTCTTTCAACGAAACTCTCCAAAACTTTCAGCACGCTGGCCAATAATGTTGAAAAGCAAATCAACAAGCACGACAACCTAACCATCAAAGTAAACGTATACGTACCTGGACCTTGTGCGCGACCCTCTTGACGCTATTGGCCGTCCTAGCGACGACAGGCCTGAGCGTCTCCTGGTTATTGGCATGGTCCTCGCGCGCCTTGAAGCAGTTCGAGCAGAGCTCCTTCTTCCAGGCGTTCTGCACAAAGTGCCTGCACTGCGTCGACATCCTGCCTCGGCCAGCCGCTCTATAGCCTCATGTCGCCGAGGCCGGCCTGTAACAGGCAATGGAAGAGTCTTTTTAGAGCAAAGAAGACGAGGAGGAACCATCGTCTTACCCGTGGGCGGCCGTGTCGACGCGAACCAGCAAATTATAGAGTCCGGTTAATGTGTGACTCGGCGAATCACCGCAAATAAAGTGAAATTATCGGCCCCAGCGGCGCATCATGGCGCTCGCCCCGTAATAATAATACACCGAGTCGTGGAAGGCTGGCCACGCGCGATTCATTGGCTCGCAAACGGCGGGGAAAATTATTGCCCTCGAAGCGGAGCTCCGAGTGCCAGCGCGAGATGGAAATTTATGTTGATAAAGCGAGAACAACGGCGCAGTAGTAGCAAACTCCAAGGTAGGGCGGCTTTAACCATCGGCTGCTTAATTCCCGTCCTGTTCGCGTGCCACGACATTTTACACGCGCCTTTCGAGCCGACGCTCTCTTAAACAAAAACAAAACAAAAACGAAAACAAAAAAACGAAACAAAAAAACGAAAACAAAAAAAAAAAACAAAAAAAAAAAACAAACAAACAAAAAAGAAAACAAAAAAAAAGAAAGAAAAAAAATCCTTGGATTAATATCTCTGGCCGTTGGAAATTGCATACTGTCGGGATGGGTAGCCATCGATTTTCTCTGTCGTTACTTAAAATTCGATCACCTCCTTACATGACCTTATAAAACTTCCTTACCGCCTCGCCCCTCTCCTTAATAAAGCTCGTTTTTCTTTACATAGGGTCGGGAGATCTGCGTGCCCGCTTTATAACCACTTTAGATCAACCGGGACGAGATCGTTGATGCTTTATTATCACGTGGACTTGCAAGCTCTTCCTTTAACTTTATTTCGCCTGCTATTTAAAGTTCGAGTCAGCCACGAACTTCGACGAGCTATAATATGCAACACTTTTTGAATATCCTGTGCGTAGCCTCGTATTTAAGGCACAGCTACATTGTCAATAAAATCATAAGAAGACGGGAAAGCGACGGTCGTCCAATTATCAGGGTCAAGATGCGATCATGCGAGCATTATGAGAATGAGAGCGAGCGAGAGGGACGAAGAGCGAAACACCCACGCGCTCGCAAGTAGGGCCGGGTATAATGATGACTAATGATCAAGTATTCCGGCAAAGCGTGAAAGACACGAGGGAGCATTTAACGGGCTTAACGATGTGTGCGAAGCATTAAAACGCGACAAAAACAAGCTCAGGACGATAATCGATACGTGCGCGATGAAGAAAGGAGTCGTCGGATGCTGGCCGATGTTTGCGTTCCGATGGTCGCGGGTATCACATAAGATTGGGTCGGGGATTATTGATTCGTTTCTTAACTCGTTTCGCGAATGCTTCGTTAATTTGCTTCGCATTCGTCACGTGGAAGCTCGTGGACTGGAAGATCTATTCCTGTCGTATTCGTAGAGCTTTGAGAGGATGAGATGGATTTGGGGCGAAGATTGGCTCATTTCTTTCCTTCAAAGACGCGGACAAATATTTCAACGAGATTCACAGGAACAACGGACGACAATAATCAGTGTCTCGTTTTATTAGTGACCAGCATATCGTATTTGGCGAAATACATTTTAATTGTAGACTAATACTAATTAATTTTTTCAAATTACACTGGTCTCGTCTAGCATTGTATCGTCGTACATTTGTACGTCATCATCTTAATGTGAACTTTTACGATTTATTGTTAGGGCGGTCATTGTTAGCCAAAAATTTTATTGTCTTCGGTAATGAAATTATTCCATTGCAACGTAATTATCTTATTATGGAAATGTTTAGTTTGTAATAATGTGCAATTAGGATTTCTCTTTATCAATGTTACAGAACTATCTAAAGTACATTCGATATCTGCGTGTGATTTGATTTTAATATACTTCGTCTTACATTTAAATTATATTTTTTTTTTTTTATGCGAAAGAATGCATCAGGGATAATTATTTTTATAAGAGAACGAATTTTAGGTGAATAATTTTTTGAATAGCATTTTCAATTTTCTAGGACGCTAAGCGACGAGTTGATAAAATTTTCTCGACGCTTTTTACTTTTAACTAAGGATGTTAGTTTTCGCGTTGTTGGTTTCCCCTCCCCTCACCAATGCATTACCGCTTTAATGATCCTGTTGCTTAGGAATACAGAGTGTCATCTTGATTTGTGTTATTAACAACTACAGTCACATAATCAACGCGGCCTATACAAAGAATTATACATTTATCAGAATGTCATTATTGGGAAATGATGATATTAATGGGCTACGCGCGTCTTTTCAAAGACAAAGAAGTTACAAAGTTTTCCATTCAACGTCTCCTGCTATTATCGACGTTTCTCGTCCTATTGAGTGTTTATTATTTATTTTACTGGCTAGTCTTGCACGCAAATTCAACATTTATTCATTCAATTTTTCACGCTTGGCCATTAAGTGCAAGTAATTGTGTCGTAACGAGGGTCTTAAAAGTAAAACAGTTATTATCATTATCATTATTATTTATTTATTTATTTTTTTTTTTATGTTAAAAAGACAATTTTGAAGTAATTGTGTTTACGGTTACGTACAATTGTTTAAGTGCGAGTTTGAAAGTTGTAAAATTATCCAAAATAAAATTGAGTAAATAGCTTATGGGCATAATTACGCATTAAGTATACAATGGGGATAGCACGTATTAGTTGAAGAATACGAAAAAATCGGCTTCCAACATTTAATTATTATAACTATTATTATTATTATTAAATTAATTTCTAAGTAGTTTTCAAATTTGTCGCGTAAAAATATAATTTCACATTACATTATCATTTAGCCATTCATTTTAATCATTGAACGAGGCAAATGTACGAAGAAAATCTGATATATCGACCCTTTTTTTCATCATAATTTTATTAAGAGCTATTTAAGAGTTTTAAGTTTTTAAGTTTTTAAGTTGAATATTAGATCGATAAGACAGGCATACGCAAGTAATTCGTGCAATTAATGTTGCATTACCCTTTCAGTCAGTGGAACTTAACAACTGATTTGCCAAGTCCAGCAACAAACACGTGCGCTTTCTTGCACAAAATCAACCGAATGGAAAAGAAATAAGACACAAAAGAAAATTATAATAATGACGTCTGAATACTCTGTTGATAATTTAACCGTTTAATGTCCACTGCCGTTATGCTTCTTATTCACAAACAAACAACTTACTACTTCCATTCTTTCTCTCATTTTTTTTTTTTTTTTTTTTTTTTTACTACTTTTTCTACGATAAAACTACTTTTTGCTATTCCGAAAAATCATGCTGTTGAAAACATTTGATAAATGTCCTCCCGTCTGCCGGCCGTTAATAATAATGACATTCATCGAGCTTGATTTGCCAAAGCGTGCCTATTACCGTCCCGAAAACGTCAAACGGAAAGTTACGAGGGGGACATTAACGGCTCGAGAAAATAAACTCACAGCGATATCATTCGATGGTCGATTCGACCAAGAGAGATATTTTAATATCGCTCCTTTAAGCGAGAATTAAGTGCTTGTGGCAGAGGTCCGAAAGCAATGACGGTGACCCGGACTGTTGAAAAACAAGAGAAAAAATCAAAGCAAAAAAAAAAAAACACACACACACACACCTAGCGGTTCTCTCGCTTCATTTGCTCCTTATGGTCTATTCTTACTTTTGCTATTCTCTTTTATTAACGCTCAATCCGCTTTAATACAACAGCGCGTTTTCACTTCCGCTTTCCACCTTATCATTATCATTCAGACGTTCCGGTCTGTCGGAATGTTCAAACATCTTACTAACAAAAACAAAAACAAAAACAAAAACAAAAATAGTAAATAAAATTAAAAATAATTTTATTCTATTTCTATTATACGACATTTAAAGATTTTAACGGGAATCGAGAGTTGGCTTTCAATGTTTTTTAATTTATGACACTCGAGATAAACTATTTCACACATTAATGAAGTTAATTTTAATGGCAGCCATTGAAATGTGGAGGAGGGAGCGTACAATGCCGACTTACTCAACAGCTACGAATCTAGTCAAATAGAACGTTTAATTGTATAAAATGAAATCTCAAGAAGGATGATATTGTTCGGCAATTGGAACGTGAAATCGAGAGAATTGGGGGAGAATTTCGTTGGTTTTGGGTGAAATATCGAGAATAAAGATACTTTGTGCTGTAATTGAGAGCCGAAAAATTAAAAACCATTTAACACAAGATCGCCTATGTAATTGGTATAGATAGTGTCGGCATCTAAGTATGTCAGATTAGATAAATGATATTGCGATCTATATTCGATTGATTAAAACATTTACGGGAGAGATGGAAATTGTCGGCCAATAATGAGGACATCGAAGCTAAAAGTTTGTCAAAAATTTTGGCTGAGAAAACATCCAAGTCGCGTATGTGCCGTTATCTTTCGCACTCGATCACTCGACATTTCCACGCTCCAATTGCCGTAAAATCCACCACTGCGTCCATTTCTCCTTTTCTGCTATTTCGTATCGCCGTAATGGCCCGGCGACACGTCAGATCTCTGATCGCGATTACTGTCACGATCGCTCCTTTCAGTCATTTCCGACTCGTAAATATCGAATATCTGAACGCACTTTTGTCTATGATTCACATAGCGAATATCACAATGTGTATTCCCATTACACAATTACATTCGAGAAAAATTTGTAAGAGCGTGACGTGCGCTATATGTAGTTGATGGATATTGCGAAATTCATAAAGTTATTGCTACGGTCCTGCTTGCGAAAGTTTCTAATTTCTTTTCCTAGGCATGTTTGCTCAGCGTATAGAACAATTACATCTCAAGCTTTCGGTACTTGGCCATTATAAGCGAATGATTCACTTTAACGATCATTACGAACGAGACGATGGTAATAATCCTATTATCTCATACTAAAACCTAACCTTAGTTATCTAAGAGCCTCACAAAGATATAATACGCTTACGATCAATTAACGACTTGTATTAAACAAATTATTACTTTATGTCACACACTTCCACGGGATTTACTCGCCG